GTTTGCTTTAATCCTTTTGATGAATAACAATGCTTCTAGATCTGATATTATGATAAACACAGGCATTACCATTAGAATTCTTCACATTTGAATTAATGCCTATGTGAAGAATATCAAAAGGGGGATAATGGAGACAGTTGGGTCTTTCTCATGTGATATCTGAATTCCAGTGCTGAGCTTTTTTAGGCAATGGACCAGGTTAAAAAACATGGACATTTCATTCTAGAATGCTCATGTTCATACCCAAGTTTAGTGCTGCCTTAGTAAAATTATGTTAAGGACATTTCTTTAAAGCAGCTGCCAGCCATATTTTGTATGGAGGTGAACCTAAGGTAGCTTTAGTCAGGGGGCTCAGACACTGATGGCAGCTGAGTGGAGCAGCTCCAGCTTCTTCCTGCAGAGGAGCAGGCTGTGAGCAAGCCTGTGGTGCTCTCTGTAGGGCCCTGCCAGTAACCAAAGCATTCTGGATGCAGCTGCAGACCCTTCAGCAGTGCCCCCAGCTCTCCCCATCATAACCTGGTGTGCAGGGTGCAGAGCTCAGTGCCCATGTCCACACCTCTGTCCCTGCTGGGGAACCATCACTCCTGAGGGAAACTGCTGGGGGCTTGGAGGGCCATCTCAGCAGTGGGTAGGGCCCATGGCTTTTGTGAGAGCTCTACATCTTTTTGTCACTTATTCTGCCAGCCTGGAGGTATGAAGGAAGCATCTTTAGCTGCATGATCCCAGTGGGTGGGAGGGCTCCTGTGGCCATGGTGATTTACCTGCAGAAGGTGCTCACTGAGGGACACACGGCTGATCTCCACCTTGCTGGCCAGCCTCAGCCCTGCTGTGGCCAGGCTCCTGTCAGGGAGCCCATGCATTATGATGCTCTCATAGCTGTACAAGTAGGTCTTGCCCATGTGAAAAACAGGCTCTGTTAGGGAAAAAATATAACAGAAACACTTCCATGACTGTTGTGATGTTACTTGAACCAGCCCAGCAAAGAAAGGTGAAGCTGCCACTGCCACAAAACAGGTGCAAGCAGTGAGCAAGGCAAGGCTGTAAGGGAAGGCAGCAAGGGAGCTGCTGCCTGCAGGGGAGCCACTTACCAAGGTCCTGCTTCTGGCCCTCTGTGAGGAAGGAAAGAGAAGTGTTAATGAAAAAACCCATTTCTGTAGATCCTTTAATGTATTATTCATTAAGCCAGCGTGCTAATGGTTGGCAAACCCCCAGTAATGGGGCTCACCCCACACCCCCAGGACACCAAGCCCATGCCAGCCCTGCTCACTAGCTGCTGCTTGCTTGGCTTTCTCTGCTGCTGACCTTAGCACAGAAATCTAACAGTTCACAGCTGAAGCTACTAAAGGGCTTCAGCAAATGAAGTTGTAAATATCCCTGAAAAGCCCCAAGGAGATGCAATTTGCTCAGGATCACAGTGGCTGTCACAGCTCAGCAGTGATGGCATAACTTCTACTTACCCACGAGGGCGAGCACCAGGGCCAGGATGAGTCCCTTCATGCTAAAAGTGACTGAAGTACACAGGGGAAAGCCTGTGGCTTTTATAGAAGAATTATTAACAGGCACAGTGAATTTTGTTGAATTATCAACTTCTTATCAACCACCCAACAAACCCTTTGAGGGAGAGGGGGTTGGGGTCAGGACAATGGATATTTTTGCTGAACCAAAACCATGACAAGTTCTGTTGTTCTCACTTCACCAACTGAATGTCTTGAAAGTAGCTTTAGAAACAACTACCTAAAAGTATTAAAACATAGTTAAAGCCAAAATTTATTGTTATGCAAGCAAAACTACTAATTATCCTTACTCCCTGAGAGCACCTGGTGCTATTGCAGTCTGTGCTGACTCTGTCTGGGTTGTCCTGACCTGACCATAAGATACACAGCTTATCTAAGTGATAGTGCCCCAGCAGGATTGTGCAAAACCCCGGGCAGCTCTTCTGTGACACCGTGCCCACCCCTGCCCTGCTGTGAGTGGGACAGGCTGTCAGCACAGAGCTGCTCTCTGGGGACAGGGACTTCACCCAGTGACACAAACCTCCTGTCATTGTCACGAGGGCCATGGCTAAATGCTGCTGACGTGCACGCTTCCCTCACCCACCAGCCCCTTCCACTGGTGTGTTTAGCCACAGAGAGGTGCTGGTGGGGGTTGCCTGGCAAGGGGGACAGGGTGAGGCTGACAGGTGTTACAGATCAAACCTCTTGCTTTAACAAAGGTGGACAACGTGCAGGCCACCCCAAACTCTTCACATCCCACAACAAGGGAACATCTTCAGCCCATGGTGGAGCCCCCTTCTCTCATCAGCACACATTTTCCCTGTCCCTTTGTAGCCAAACCCACAGATCTCTCTGGCTGCTCTGGGCTCCAGGTTTGGCTTTGTTCCCAAGCTCACCAGTTCCCTGCAGTCAGGTCATGTAGGGCTCCATTAGGAATCAGCACAGGGAGGGCTAAGGCAGCCCAGGGCTGGGGGGCTCACCTTGCACTGTGTGGCCACTGCTTCCCCACCAACCTTCTCCTCTGTGGGTGGGAACAAAGCTGCTGCTGCTGCTGCCCAGCTCACTGTGGGAAGGGACTGGATTCATTTTCTCATCCACAGACCAGCGGCTCCTATCCAAGACAGCTTAGTTTTTGTAATGTCCTTTAGCTGATGGGGTTTTATAATTAGCCTTTGGGATATAATTTATAATGTCTGACAAACAGTGGATTTTCTTCCTAGATCAAAGACTGCATCTGTAGGAAAAAAAAAAAAAAAAATTCAAGCATGACAAATCCCTCACCGTGTTTTTACTGACTCTGTATTCAGGTCCTGATTTTTTTAACCCCTTCCCTTGTAAAATTGGCAGCACATGATAGAAAGCCAAGCTATTCACTGGAGAGTTTTGCCATGTCTTTGGAAATTTGGTAAATGTACTTAAGGATTTGAGTATACAGCTACTGGTATACCAGTATACCTTGAGTATACCAGCTACACTGGTACTCAAGGCTCAAAAGCTATTATGGCATAGCTATAGCAGCTGCACAGGTTTGGGTTTAAAAAAAATAAAAATCCTGCAGGCAGCAAGGACTTGAGGTCAGTGGCAGTACAAGTAGAAGGCTACTGTGATGGAGATATTAAATGCAACAACGCTTGTATTCTCAAAATTATAACACTATATCACTGAAACATCACACTATAACAGTGACTTCTCAAAATAAAGATCAAACAACATTCCTCAAAATAAGGGTCCTCACTGGCAGATGTACAGGCTGCACCCAGCTGCAAGGGCAGGGTCTCCTCAAAATCACCAGCACTGCAGAATCTTGTCCCCATCCCACCCCATCCCTCCCTTTGGGCAGCAGATGCTGCATCCCTGGTCATCCCAGCCATGCTGCTGCCACAGGGACATCTGTTCTTCTGCTTCAAGGGTCCCCTAAACCTGCTGGCAAGGGCTTTGTCTCTAGTGACTTCTCTATGAAACTGAAACCTCTCCTTTTCTAGGTCACTTCTTCAGTACCTCAAGAACAATTTCAAATCCCAGTCTTTGCCCCCATATTTTAACAGCCATTTTACACTAGTATTACTCAGAAGGATATGACCTGAATTAAAAAGAAGTGAGGAAAAAAAACCCTCAAACTAAGAAAATTGTGAGGGTGACAAACAGTTTGGCTGAGCCCATTTCCCTCGAGCTGTGGCAGTGGAGAGAGGAGCAGAGGCTGCCTGAGCGCTCTCCATGGGCCCTCATGAGATGGACACCTACACCCACCTGGCCTGCAGTCCCACAGAGGCTCTGGCTGCCCTGGGTGATGCTCACCCAGGCTCTCCTGCCAGGGCAGTGCTGCTGGGGTTCAGCACACCTGGATGCTGAGGCTGCTGGAAAACAATTCCCCCAAAACTCCGCTCCAGCCTTGGCACTTTGGGAAGAGCCCCATGGGCTGCCCCAACTGGAGCTGGAAGTTTGTGCCAGCATTGCCCACAGGGGCCACATAAAGCCCTGGATTCTGCTGGATTCAGCCTGAGGTTACCTGAAAAGTCTGTGCTTTCCATCACTGCCCTGTGTGAGTTCCAGGCAAGCAGCAAACCACCAGCTCATGGCTTTACTGCTGCTGCCAGCTCCCCAGCATTCTGCAGTGTAGGTTACCATGGCAGCATCTAAACTGCATAGAATGGTATATTTAGACCTTGCACACAGATTTCTTTTGGTACTAAGGACTTTACCTTTCTGAACTGTAAAACTGATATCCAAACAAGAAAACTCAGGTATGTGCATCCATTGTAGGTGCAAAAGCTGCTGGGGAGAGCAAAACAACACAATTTTTACAGAACGTTCTCAAGTGTTTTCAAAATCCCATTCACCCAGTGTGCATACTCAGCCTGCAAACAGAGCCTTAAGGCAAGCAGAAAACACCCTCCAGGTCTGCTGGAATCCTTTGGGCTGCACTGCTCAGGGCAGATGAGCTCATCCTGACCATGCCCACACAGACCTGAGGGTGGCTGCAGCCACGACTCTTGCTGGGCACAGAGGTTGGGGCATCTCCCCCAGAGGTCTGGCTCAGCTTCAGAGCCTTTGGCAGGTGCTGTGCTACATGATTCTTGGTGTGCCCCACCCTGTCCTGCTCCAAGACACCAATTCACCATAGCTTCTGCATGTGGTGCACCAGAAACTTAACTTGTTCTTGGCTCCCTCAGAGCAGCCTTGCCCAGGGACAGAGATTCAGGTTTATTCCCTGAGCCTGCTGCTCCCTGCAGCAGCCCTGGCCCATCCCAGAGCTCTGGCCAAGCACCACAGCTGCAGAGGGTGCAGCATCACACCGAGGTGATCAGGCCCTGCTGCAGGTGCACAGGATCCCAGGACCAGGGAAGGAAGCACTGGGGGAACAAGCAGGAGTAGCAGTACCACAGCTACCCAATCCAATTCCCAGTGTGACCCTGAACAGAGCCCCAGTGCACAGAACTCAAGAAGTCTTTCCACCTAATGTAGACCTCTTTCCACCACCAGTGAATAAGGAAACCTTCACAATTTTTTCCATGCATGGATTTATTATGAAATCAGATATTTATGGGCAATCATAACAGTTTCTACAATAATAAAGTTTAATACTTTAAATTACTTGGGAAGATTCCCCATACAAGATCCTTAAGTACTTAATTTAGTATCTATTATTCCTTAAGACAAGTTTTTTTACACTACACAATAAAAACATGAAAGTATTTCTGTTTTCTCCTATGCTGCACAGTACAGCTTCATGTGCAGTTTTCATCCTCACAAGTACATGCTATGTGTGCATCAACAGTGTCCTTCATATCCTCTGACTTCTGGTCAAACTTCATCTGCTTGTCTGTCAGGCTGGTGGCTGAATCTGATGGGGAACAAGAATGAAAATGAAACAGTTTACTTCACAAGTAGTTCTGCAAGCTACAGCATTTACCATGCACTAGTTATTAATTACAGCAGGCTTGGCTGTTCCTCACTGATTTACATATTCATATTTGAATATGAAGTCACAAGTCACACAGAGATGTTCCAGGAAATCCACTTCATTAATAAGTCAATTCTACCTTGAAAGCTACTACTTCCATGAAGAATTTTGTTAATTATACATTTAGGAAAGGGTATTACAATCTTTAAGAAAAAAAACTTGGAAAACAGATACAACTCTATGCTCTGTATAATCTATATCTATTTTATCTAATGTCTTATAATCTACAATACATGTATAGAAAATAAATCCTCCTATATCACTGGACCTGTGTGCACACCTGCCCTTCTAGTACAATCCTGTCCACACCTGCCCTTCTAGTACCTAAATCAGCACAGTGGAGTAGGATCACACCCAAAGGCAGTGATATATAAAAAATGCAAGGCAAGGATCCCTGTTTTGGGGTGCTGTGCTTGTTCCTCTATGGCTCAGTCTGCACAGGCTGCAGTACACAGCTTTTCAGCTCAATCACAGCACTGACTGTGCTGCTGTCCTGCCTTTACTTTGCTAGCCCTAAGCACCACGAAGGAGAATTCAGTTTAGCCTTTAAATCCCAGTACAAAGAAAACAATTAAATGTCCAATAGAGAACCATCTCCCTCGCTGAAGGAATATTTGCCTATCAGTAGGACAGGGAAAGGGCTTCAGTCAATAGGGCAGTAAGTCCATGCCTACCGATGGCCATGCTGCATCCGTGTTTTTCAAGTGGAATAACTAAGTGACAACCTATCGCTACTTTAGCTCAGCTCCTCCCCGGTGGGATGCGCGTTGCCTTACCCGCAGGGACACAGTGGAAGCCCACGGTGACCGGGGCCGTCCTGCTGGGGGAGCAGCCCTTGTTGCAGCGCAGCACGGGCTCCGTGGAGTAGCAGCGGGACTCGACCCCGGCCAGCTGCACCGCCCTCTCCAGCTTCACAAAGGCGTGCCGCAGCTTGCAGGCTGCAACGGGCAGGGGGACAGCTTGGTGACAACGAGATACAGCTCCACACCCCCCAGAGGGACCCACCTGCCAGCACTGCCCGTCTGCAAACTTCCCTCTGTGACAACTGTGCTTTGATCACGAATGAAGCAGTTTTACTGGCTGATAGGTCTTTCAAATCAGCTTGTTGGATATGGAGCCCTGGAAAGCTAATTTCAAATGCAACTGGTCTGCTTCTAGGTCAGGATATAGAAACATTGTACTTTCCAATAAACATTTTTCAAGGTAAACTGGCTGACTGAATAGCTGTCAAACCACATTTTAAAATGTTGAATGTGCAGCAGTGGGACTAAAGGGGAGACTTCTGACCAAATAAAAATAATCACTAAAGAATTGCATTATTACCAATGTCATCCAGACACAGAACTGGTCTGAGAGAGAGCAACAGTCATTGCTGCCAACAAGTAATATTGATCTCATTTTGGATTCCCAGGACAAGCAGTTACAAGTGAGAAGCTAAACAGACCACAATTTATTCCTAGATATAAATTTTATGTCTTCAAATTCCAGCAGCTTCCACCATATGTTAAATGGAAACAGAATGTGGTCACCACCAGCCATGGGAATATTATTGTGGATGTGCATGTGGGCTCTATATCCATCTAAAGCAAGTTTGTTGTCCAGAATTTGTGACAAAAACATGCAAGAGTAACAGCTAATGCTGAGTTAGACATGTAGAAGCCATCTCCAGGGACTGAGGATGTCCTTCCCACAGGACAAGCCTCTGCAGATGCAACCTGCCTGCTCTCCTCAAGCACTGTGGTGTGATGCTGCATCATAACCTCAGCTGAGAGCTGCACACCATGAGATCCTAATCTACTGAAAGACTTAAAATGCAGCTTTTTTATTTCAACCATGTAATTAAGTCCCTGGACTGCTCATCTACTTTGTACATACAAAACATGAATGCTTTGTTTGATAGGTTGCACTGGTTCAAAAACCAGGTGGTCAGACCTGGTAATAACTACTAATCCCTATCAGATTTTTGATGGACTAATTGCTGAAAATTGATGTCCAGAAAATGGGGTTGTGCTTAAATAAAAGCATTGTGTGTGAAGCTTATCCTCTTTCTGATCCTCATCTAAAATACTTCAAAACTGAAATAAAGATTTTGATTCATCTTATTTTTTGAACTACAACTAAGTTGTATATTTTGGCTTGTTTAACCTGTGATTTCTTATTTCTTTCTCAACTTGCAAGTAATTTTAAAACTTAACATATAACTTAATAATGAATCTTCTAATATGCTTTTTATTTCCAAAATATATATGGATTTTTAATTTTCTGAACAGATTCCACATTTCCTGAACAATAGCAGTAATATTATATTAAATTTATTAGAGCTTGCATACCTCCTCTACAAGGCCTTTCTTCCAAAATCCAAGAATGCCCAAAGCTCACTGCATCTTTAGCTATGTATCCGTTGGGCATCCGATATTCCTGTTCACATTCTGCATCGTATTTTCCACACAGTCCACACATTTTCCCTGCCATCCATAAAGCAACTTGGATCTTGAAGGAAAAATAAGCAAGTATTTCAAGTTTAAAAAAAAAAGTAATACCTGTGGAGCACATTTTTGCTATGCAGGTCCCTTCCAGAGTAAGTTAATGCACAAATATTTAAAATCTCTTTGATAAGAATTCAAAAGGGTCTGACAGTCAGATGCCAAACTCCTGTGAGGCTGCAGAATCTATAACTGATACAGTCTTTATAACCTACTGTGCCAGTCTAGGATGTTAAGTTATTCATGCTCTAGACTATTATTAATATGCTGAAGCTTTTTTCTGGTGGTTGTTTTGATAGTACAAGAGACAGACATGAAACAGTTTACCAACCCCTTACGTTCCAGCTTCATGTTAATTCCAGTGCAGACTCTAAACCACTCATTTATCTAACAAGAATGGCTGCATTTTTGCTGTTTTGAAGAATTATACAGCTGTAAGAACAGTGTCAGGAGCTGAAAACTCATTTTTCTTGCAAAGGCACTGCTGACTCAGCACGTGTACGCTCACAGACCCACTTCCCAACACACATCTGTACTGCAAGAATAGAACACTTTTGATGATCAAAGATTCTCATTTCTTACACCCAGAAATAAAGAGCAGGACTGTGCAATCCTGTAGCATCATCTTCCCTTGGGGTTTTTTGTGCCCTGCACGCACTTGCCTTTGCCACTGTACACCCTTGCCCTCATACACACAGATTTAAGGGAATCCTATGGAAATTCTCAACACTCAATCTTATGAAGAGGAAGAATGATACCCTGAATGTGTATCCATCAAAGTACAGTTTATCAATGCCATAGGCTGGGGCAAGGAGTACAAGCCCTTGATTTTCACTATGGATCCACAGAGAAGCACCTAGAAGGAAAAAAAACAAAACAAAACAAAACCAGACCAAACTTAGCTTCTTTAGGAGAGAAAAAAACAACTGTCAAGCTTCTAAAATGTTCTTTTCTTCAAAATTCCTCAATTACCCTATTCAAGAAACACAAATATAGAAGAAAGCAATGTAGAAATGGGCATATATAGAAAATGGGTGCTTGCAAAAGGATGGAAGAGAATGTTAATGGTCACAGACTTATTAATTTTTTTTAGGTTATTAACATAACCACATTTATGTCTATAAATTATTACTGAGCTGTCTATAGTATCTCTGTAGTTGTGCAGATCAACAAGGGTCTGAGTGCACTGCGTTGGAATATGGAAATATGAGGAACACCATGACTGCCACTGGAGCCATTTCTAGCACAATTATCACTTCCCAAGTACATAACAAACAGGACAGAGCTCAGCACTGGTACATGCTAACCCAATTTCAGCAAGATTTAGCCCAATTCATATATTGCAGCTCTTCAGTCAGAATACCCACACTGTATACAGCCCCTGACTACACAGCACAGGATAAAACAAGGTCTTCCTGTACTTTTCACAGAAACAAACTATTCCTGAGAAGAGAGAATCAAGAAGACTGTTTCACCAGCTCTCTATACCTATCCCTGGTAGAATGCAAGCCAAATTTATACCTACAAATCAAATCAGGAAAAACATCAATATACAAGTCACGTGTAGTGGATTTTAGAAAAGCTCTACTTTTTTAATCAAGCAAAATTTGATAGCATAGCCAAAACCCTTCTCAAATTTGGAACTACAACAGGACTTGCAATGATATACAAAAAGGTGGGATCTTCATGCTAATTATGTCTTGCTTATTTAGGCTACTTCAAGATCTTCACACTCTAATCAATCTTTTTAAGTGTCCCTCTGCAAGTGAGTAAAGTACATATTAAATATTACCTTAAAACCAAAGAAACTTGGATTGAATACAAACTGATCAAATCTCCTTCACAGATTCCTTCTCTTTCCTCCTTTCTCCCAAAACACAAGTGAAAATGGAGCAGCATGTGCTGCATCACTCACCAGCAGATGTCAAGGACACGTTTGCTGGGCTCTCAGCCCCGTCCACCAGCAGCTTCACGCGTCCGTCGGCAGGGCGCATATCGACCTCACTGCAAGGACAAGAGAGCTCACACCCTGCCTGTGCCACCTTCACACACTCATAGTGACAGGGACAACTTCCTGCTCACTAAATACCACTGCTCAGAGCACAAGCTCATTTCAAATGCTTAAATTACATCAGGAGTACTCTTGTCACCTAAGATGCAGGAAAAGAGCGCCAGCATCACGTTCAATATGCACGGAAAACAAATAAGGGGAGTGCTGAAGCCCCATGGGCTGCTGGCCATTGCAGGAAAGCTCAGATTGCAGCTCCTCTCATGCTAAATGTGGGCATTGAGGTCCCTCATGCTCCCAGGATGTGGCAGAAGTTACTTACTGATTGCCAAGCTTGATGTTGATTACTTTCAGGCTGACAGCTTCTTCTGCATTCTTCATCATCACCAGGAACTTCAGGTCAGAGCTGCAATCCTGAGCCAAGATGTGGTAGCAGTCTGCTGGCATTGTGTAGTTAAACCGAACTTCATTAAAAGTTGAGACCTTGTTGTAGGAAACTGAGCATTGAGCTGGTTTAAAAAAACAAACAAACAAACAAAAACAACAAAAAAAAACCAGTGAGTTTTTTTGTTTTCCATGAGAGAAAGCCACTAAATTGTGTGGTTTGTTTCTAGTGCCATATTATTTTAGCTTTATATTTGTTTCATTATGTGATATTTTCATATGGTTCAGAGGGACTTTTGGCTAGTAAGCACCCATAAAATCTTAAAAAGGCATATAAAATGTGTTCTTCTATATAACAAAAAAATTGTCAGAAATTTAAAATTTTATCAATTCAAATAATTGGTATCTTGATCCCCGAAATGCTGATGATTTCTGTTCTACATGCACAGTATTTTCTCTCAGTTGAACCATCCTCACATTATTACAGAACATTTCCTAATAACTCAGATAAACAATGCCAGAAAAACTTACAATTTTTTTACAATTTACTCAAATAAATTGTGAGACTGAAGTTGTCATGCTTCTGAACCCAATTAGATCTGACCTTTCAAATTCTCGAGCACTGCAGAAGGGGCTTTAGCAAAGACATTCCAGCTGGGAGGCTGCAGCTCTGACGTTGATGTCCTTGGCCCTACAGGGAGGGACAGGGGAAGCCTCATGGCTTTTTCATAGAGGGTAACCTGAAAAGGAATTCAAAAGCACATCAAAATGTGTCTGTGCCAGCAAACAGCTAGCACAATTTTTTTTCCTATTTCTTCTACTTTCATTGCAAAGTCTTTATGTGAACATAACTCATCTGACTCATTGTGCATGAGGTTTTTGCTTTTGTTCAGTTTTCTCTCATGGTGTGAGAGAAGTCATTCAGGTATTGTTTGGGAGAGAATGAATTACTCCCTTTCAAAGGTGATGAGGTGAACACTTATGGAGGTACTACAGATGGAAACTCATGTCATCATGAGTACCCACATCTCTCTCCATGAAAAGAATCACTATATAGACATGCCTTTATGAAATATTGCAATGACAGAAATATATAAAATTAATTTTCATCATTTGCACCCAAACTGATGCTAACTTAATTTTTCTTTCTCAGAACTAACCCACTGTAATTAAACAGTCACACTTTTCTATTAGGAATAAGATAGAAGAGTGATAAAAATATTTCATAATTACATCAGGAAGCTTGATAACAACATCACAAGTCCTTGGAGAAGTTAGAGCCACGATCAGCCTGGCTTGTCGAGAAGGATTCTTGTCCGCTTTTTCAGAGAACCCCAGCATAAATGCAGCCCCAGGGACAAACTTGTAAAACCTTCAAAAGTTCAAATCAGAAAGATTTAGTGAGAGAGAGAAAAAAAAGGCTGCACACATCCCAGCTAGATTGTATCACACCAGTGTGTAAGCAGCATAATAGTCTGCAGGATCCCTGGTAATGTCCTCACACCCACTCTCTGCTCTGCTGTTCAAGTGTTCAGTGAAAGGAAGGATCTGTTCCTCCGTTTTCAGCAGTTATGGCAAATATCAAGAGTTACTGTACATTAAAATAAGATGTAATCCCTCTCAGCTTTTTTGTCCAAAGGCAGTACTTGCACAGATCAGAGAATAAAGTATCAGCCAGTACTTAAGCCACTAGAACCTTGTGTGCAGATGCTGATTTTTCCCAGTTGACCAGCATTGTTAACAAGTGTCACTGAAGATTCAATTCTCACCATTCTGCTACGGATCTGATACTGGAAGGAACTTTAGGCCACTCCAGTTTCACTTGTACAGCAGGGTGGGCAGCAAACTGCCCAGTTACCAGCTCAGATGAAACCTTGTAGTCCTGGCAATTCCGTCCCCATTTCAGGTAGGCCTGTGATGGAGGGACAATGGTTCATTTTTTAGTGCCTGGAGCATTCCTGTGATGCATACAGAGCTGTACAAACCAGTTTTGAGCCTTACCTTTGCCTTGTGAGCATTGTGGACTGAAGCATCAGCACAGAGCTTCCACTTGCTTGAATCTGTGAGGTTGGACACAAATACCTGCACCCGAGGCTTGATGGAGTCAATATCAGCATACACCACGAGCTGGAGGCCTCCTATCTTCTTATCATCACGGATGCCATGCAGGAAAGCTGCTAACACTGGGGTTTGAACATCTCCCAAAAACTTGGGCTAAGAGGAAGGGGGAGAAGGCATGCAAAACATATAATTATAGATGAGTTACCATGGAACATTTTAGATGCAAGATCTAGATGGATAAATGAAAAAATAACTGAACCACAAATATATACCAGCATATGTATCACACATATATACATGCCTATAAAACCTCATGCATATGTCTTTAATGTGCACGTGCCTCTGCATGCCAGATGGCTTTAGTGTTTTTATGAGCCAAAATTTGTGCCATTTCCTGAGCTACAGCTGATACCATGGAAATAGTCATATAATTAAAACACAGTAATGACTGTATGATTTGGGCTTCATTGTTAGTATCCAGCCTGTGAATGAAAGCAAGTGGTTCAGTTTGAACATCAGTTGTCAGTGGTATGCATCACTCATTCCCACAGCAGAAACATCCCCCACTCATCTCCTCTTGTTTATCTGTCTGGGTCCTGTGCTGGCTTTCTGCTCATACTTGGGCTGTGAGTTCTGTGGAGCAGTCAGGTTTTGTGTTTGCACAGCAACTCAGCACAGAATATAATCCAGGACATATTCTCCAACATCCAGAACCCCTTCCCTTGGAGAACAGCCTTAAGTGCATCATGACCTTCAGTATCTTCACTCCATCATTCTCAAGCCTGCACCCATCTGCTGGTGGTGAGGAGCCCAGGTGCTCCATGCCCCCTCTGGAACATGCCTTCTGCTACCACCAATGTCCTCACATGGCACTGCAGCACCTCAATCTCCCTCCAGGTTGCAGAGGTCACAAAATGAGTCTCTGCAGGCATCTGTTGGGTGGGATTTCCATGAGGGAAGGGTTGTGATGCAAGTTAAGAAGGATCCTCACTGCTGAGGAAAGTGCATGTGGAAGCTATGGTGCACGTCTTGACTGATACCTGAGACTCAAGAGGTTGGCATTTCTCCCTTCCCATGATTATTGTAGTTATTACTGTATACAATTACTGTCAGTGCACAGCCACTCTGACATTATTCCAAGCTCTCAAAACCCCCTAAAAATGATGCAACTAACCCATGAAGCTCGAGATGTGGCATGACTGGATCTGGCAGAGGAATGTGAGCTGTCAGTTTGGTCTTCTGGGAGTTTTCCTTTTGGGAACTGCAAAAAAAACCCAAAAAACCCAAAAAAATCAAACCACAACAGGCTCAAGAGGGTAACTTTAAAGCATGCATGAAGAAATTGCACGAGGCAGTCCTGAACAATACTCTCTCTCATGGCACTTGGCTTTGTCCTGCTTGCTATGTAGGATCTAACTCTGAAAAATTTTGTTTCCCCCAACATATTTGACTCTTCACAGTCCATAAGGACCATGAAGAGATGAGAATTCCCTGTATGAAAAAACAATAGACCAAAGCAAGTCAGATTTAATCAGCTTCTCACTTCAATATGAAAGACCAGAAATTCTGCACAGGCGTGATGAGCTGAATGGACCAACTGAATGGAAAGGAGCATCTGAGTGGACACACATTGCTCAAATGTTACTTTTTGAGGAGCACTAGTGCCAAGTACACTGCTCTGGCTGGCTCATGTCCTAGTAAGAATCTGCTCAACCAAAATACTATAAAATAAGGTATCCTCCTACATTTGTCCACATCACTACCCTCATGTATGTGCAGTGATTCCAACCCAAGAAAACAGGTGATCAAAGTCAATCAAATGAATCAAGCTTCTGATGGTTCCTTCAAGGTGTGCAGCTCCAATCTGTTTTAGTGCTTTGGAAGAGGCCTTGTAGCTCCTTTGCAGAGCCACAAGTGGCTTCATGTGGGCAGCACAAAAGGGAATACGGCTCTCTGTCTTTACCGATCTCAGAAGAACCACCACAGTTCTAATGTTATCAGTACTGTAATTTTCATCAACAAAGATAACAAGTTGCCATTAAAATATCCATTTGACTCTTGACAGATTCCATACTTCTTTTAGTGAGGAAAGAAAAACTCACCTCTTCTTGTTTGTGTGCTGATTTAAAGCGGTACTGATAAATCTCATGAGCTTCCTTTGAAAATGACAAAAACAAGAAAATTAGAAGTTTCAGAGGAAAAGAAATGCTGCAATTATATGAAAATCTAAGAATTGGAAATTAAATAAGAAATTTACTGATTATCATTCATACATAGTGCTGTATGCTTAGTCACAAGAACATAATGCAAGATGAAGTAATTTATATAAAGCATTAATGTTTCTACCGCAAAATTAAGACAGAAATATGCAATGTTTATGGACAGCAAATTGTCAAAAACCCCATTTCCTGACAGTAACAAAATTTTTGACAAACTTGTGAAAACTTTTGAGATGAAGTAGACATATGTGCCAATGATTGCAGGTGTGTTTGTAGAATAAATTTTTCAATTTTATGTTGCTGAAATCTACTGAGCAGCTCCTAATGTCCTGACTTGTCATGCAAAGCCAGCCACCATCAGGAGCATGATTAGTAGCATCAGTTGATTTACTGACAAAATTACCCATATTTTGGAATATGCACTGCTGCTGCTGCTGCTGCTATCCAGATGTCCTGAATGATGTTCATGGCTGTGGTGGCTCAGTGACTCACTGCTGCTGCTGCTGCCATTCACATGCCTCAAGTGATGCCCATGGCTGTGATGACTTGATGACTTCCTGCTGCTGCTGCTACTACTACTGCTGCTGCTGCTTTTGCTGCTGCTGCTGCTACTACTGCTGCTGCTGCTTCTACTGCTGCTGCTGCTCTTGCTACTTCTGTCACTGATGCTGCTGCTACTGCTCTTGCTGCTACTACTGCTGCTACTGCTCTTGCTACTGCTGCTGCTGCTACTACTGCTGCTCTTGCTGCTCCTGCTGCTGCTGCTACTACTCTTGCTACTTCTGTCACTGCTGCTGCTACTGCTGCTGCTACTCTTGCTGCTGCTACTGCTACTCTTGCTGCTTTTACCACTGCTGCTACTGCTACTCTTGCTGCTTTTGCCACTGCTGCTGCTGCTGCTCTTGCTGCTTTTGCCACTGCTGCTGCTGCTGCTCTTGCTGCTTTTGCCACTGCTGCTACTGCTACTCTTGCTGCTTTTACCACTGCTGCTACTGCTACTCTTGCTGCTTTTGCCACTGCTGCTACTGCTGCTCTTGCTGCTTTTGCCACTGCTGCTGCTGCTGCTCTTGCTGCTTTTGCCACTGCTACTGCTCTTGCTACTTCTCTCACTGCTGCTGCTGCTACTCTTGCTGTTACTTCTGCCACTGCTGCTCTTGCTGCTTGCATCTTTGTTTCTTGCTTGCTCTTCTTGATTATTCTCATCTTCATCACCAGCCTCTTTACGACGAGGAGAAACAGCAGATGATGAGGAAGAGGAGACAGCTGAGGAGGCAGAAGATGAGCTGGAGGGATGTTTTGTGTCAGGGTCTGCCCCAAGCTCTGTAAGCACAGTGTTTTCTTTCTTTGAAGGTCGCTTCTTCTGGTGTCGTGTTTTATTTGCAATCTGCAAACACAGTCCAAGAGGTGCAAAAGAGAGAATACATCTGGTCCTGTTTTCACAAAGTAAAACTTCTGTGGGTGTCAGACTAAGCTGGGTTCTCACACCAGCTTTTCAAGGAAAAACCACCTCCCTGCCTCACTCACAGCAGAAGATGCAGAATTCCCTCAGATCCACTCCTTCCAGCTGAAACCCAGTCCAGCTCAGCCCACCTTGCTGGGTGCACCCCACAGGAGCAATACCTCAGCCTGGGGCACTGGCACCTTCCAAAACAGCCCCAGCCTTTCTTTGCCATGCCAGCTTCCCACACTGTACTTCTAATTCTTGCCCTTATTTAGGGGAAAATGTTCCCCACTGCCGTACTCAGTAACTTGCCTTGAACACATTGTCAATGCCTAGAATCTTCTTCAGTTTAGCTTGGATGTCCCCATACAGAGATGATTCACCCTCTTCCTCCGACTCGGCGTTTACTTCATTAATTATTTTGGAAGCTGCTCTGGATCCTGCCTGAATCTCCAGCTGAATTTTGTCAATATCAGCATCTGTTTCAACTACACACCAATTGCACACGTTAGAGAGTTAGACTGCTTCAAATAGCACTGACAAGCCCAAGAAGCTCAGTATTTTACCTGGGATCAAGACTATTTTAGCTTCGTGCTCTCCGATGAGTCTGTGCAAATAGGTGTTTTTCAGGAAGCTGGCATCTCGTGACCTTCTGGCAAAGCAGAGCTGACAGCCAAGGTGATGCAGCTTGACACAAACATCTCGTTTATGAGCTTTCCTTCCCGTGACGGGGCCAAGATCCTCTAGAGAGCCATAGGCACGTTTCCTTGAGGCGCTGTCAGCTTCCGGCTGCGTTAGAGATGAGGATGTGAGTGCCACTGGGAGTGTGTCACAGGCAAGGGTGAAACTACAGACATCCAGTGCAGAGAGAGTGAATAGTACTGGATAAGCCAAAAAAATAGGTTACCTTTGTGAAATCTTCACTGGAAGCTCTGTCTGATGGTTTGAAAGGTTCTTCCACAATATTTGATGAAGCATCTCCTGGGAGAATTGCAGTTCTCTTTTCAACACCTAGCTCCCCTAAATTTCTTGATACAGCAAAAGCCTTATGTCTGTTGAGATATATGCAAAAACCAGTGAATTATTCCAACCCCTTGTCTTTGGATTAATACATCCTTGTAAGTATCATGTGACAGCACAGAAGTAAGATTTTTGAACACAGAGATTATATATGAATTTAGAAATATAAACACTATTTAAAACAAAAAGAGTTCATGACAAATATAATTTTCTTATATTGCAGGAAGTTTTCAAAGTCTGGATAAATTTCAACAGAATTTCCAAAACATCAAAAATATTCCTTCAAGCACATAAATCAAAGTCCTTAAAAGACAATAAAATAATAAAAAATATTAACACAAAACAATAAACAATTTAATATAAAAATTACCCTGCTGGATAATTCAGATCTCTTCTGATTTTTTGCTACTGTATTTGTCTTCTTTGTGCTTTATCTCAAAGGTTCTGCTACACACTGAAGAGTCACTCTGCCTCTCTAAAGACCTCTGTGGGAGGTCAGTTAATAGTGAACTTTGTCAGGCTTCAGCAACACAAAATATTCTGAAGTAATGCTACTGTACCTTCCAACCACTAGCTCAGTTTCCTCATGGCATGGATTTGTTTCAATCTTAATATTTTTCAGCTTCATGTCTATCTTGGCATCAAACTTAATTGGCACTTTTGTCAGGACCTTGCCTTGAATTTCCACAGCTTGTTGGAAGTATTCTGTGTTGACACCCATTGTTGCAAATTTCTGTATGTATAAGCTGAAACAGAGTGCAGCAGTCAGGTGTAAGGAAGGTGCTCTTTTCACCCACGTGGTTCTTCCCTTAAAAACCTCCTTGATATGGAAAGCCTCAGAAACCTGCCATACCTGGGGTTTATGTCAGAACGAATCTGCACCGTGGATTCGAGCAACTGTGAAGGTCTAAAATCTCCAGTTAAAGGGGGAGATATCTTTCCATCAACTGCAAATGCAAGAACAATATGTAAACATTGTAAAAATGAAAGAAAGGAGTCGAACATAAGCAGTTTCCAGTAGAAGGTAGTGTTTTTGTTAGTACAGGAAATACGGCTGGAAAACAAGACAGACTTTGGGGTACATGAGACCTTTCATGATTCTGAAGAATACTGAAAATGCAGAGGAAGCTTGTTATGTAGGCAAAGGCTCAGATGCAACATATTGAAAATGGAAATAAAAAATATACTAAGGAAATGAAGAGCTGACCCAAATTGAAAATTTGATAATTAGTGTAACATTAAAATTTCAGAAACATGGGGAGTCAGAAGACAGAGCAAATACAGAGAACAAGGCTAAACAACCTCTGATCTCCAATCTTTCCTCACATCAAGTGTGAGCATCTTGTACTGTGGAACCAAAACTAGACATTCTACTCCAGATACAGCTTCAAATGTGCTAAATAGAGAAGGAAATCATTGTCACACTGGCTCTGCTCTTGCTTCTCCAGCCCATGACACAGCTGGCCTTTATCACCACATGAGCACACTGCCAGGTTGTACCAGGTTGTCCTGCCCTTACTGCATAACTGCTCTCTGTCTGGGTGATGCCCAGCCTATACACTTGGGTTACTCCACTCTAGGTGAAGGACTTTGCATTGCCTTGGTCAAATTTCACCCCACTTCTTTCAGGCCATCCTCTCCAGCCTGTTAAGCTGACTGTCAGTGGCAGCCTGACCCCCTCAGAGCAGCAGCTGCTCCCACCAGCTCAGTGTTAATATCGACACAGAAATCCTGAGGGTGCCTTCTTTTACCAAGTTTGAATTTTAAAAGAAGACAATTAACAAGTGCCAATGGCAGAGGAAGGTTTCTTGTAACAAGTCACCAATTATATTTTCAGCTGTTCACTACCCTTGGAGACCAGCAGTCCAGACAACCTTCGTTCATTTCGCAGCCCATCCATCCAATCCATACCTCCCAAACTTGGCTACAAGGTTGTTATTGAAAAAAATAATAAAAACACACAGAAGACACAGAGAAGGGGCAGATCTGCAAAGTTACTAAAGAAAACTAACAAGCCAAAAACCAGCAAAGAGTGGGTATGTGGGAGAGCACAAGCACATGTTCATCACCCTTCATTCCTTACATGGTGTCAGCAGATATTAGAGTCAGTCTTGCCTAATTTAAGTCTGCTGCACAGCTCACAGTGTGATCACTGAATTAACTTCTTGATGAGGATTAGCACTTGCATATTTGTTCTTTTAAAAGAGAGCTCCAGTCTCTTTTCACAAGCCCTCTTCTCTTCTTCCTTCTTAATGCTACTAACAGCGCACTTTTGATTGTTTTCTATTTTCTTCTCTTTTAAAATCAACATTGAATCCTCCTTAGCTTGTGTGTGCACCTCTCAGGAACCACCCCCTTCTACCCATGTCTGCATCAGCTCCTCAGGCAGCTCTTGTGGTTTTTTGGCTTTGAATGTTGTGGCCTCTCTCTCTCTGATTTCCCAGGTTCTCATCTCACCTCTTCTGTCTTCAATCCATTCAAAGGCAATGCACAAACCAGTGCATCCAGCTTCTCTTCAAACATCTTCACTGCCCCACTCTCCAATCCCAAAACTAGCTCTTTTTCTAACCTCCTGGCTCTCCACTCCTTTCTCCAGCCTCGCCCAGGCCCCGTCCCTCCCATGCCCCGCTCAGAGCTCACCGCTGGCAGCAGCCCTGGCCAGGGCCGTGCTGTAGGAGCTGTACTCCAGGGGCAGCCCGGTGGCGGTGGGGACGATGTAGCGCAGCTCTCCCAGCCACAGCGGCTGCGTCCATTGCGCCGCGGTGCCCGCGCGCAGCTGGGCTGCCACCCTCCTCAGCAGCGTGCTCCTGGCTGCAGGCTCCAGCACTGCCTGCGGGAAAACAGGGAGCCAGCACGTGGGCATGGGGAGCTGGAACGCTGGCCAGCATCGCAAAGAGAGCGGGGGACCCTGGTACCTTCACCGCCTGCTGTAGCACTTCCTTGTTGATGTTGATGTAGGCCAGCTCTTGGCCAAAGAGTTTAAAGTAGGCTGATATCAAGGGGGTTTCTGTTGGCAGCTCCTTCCATCCCAGCAGCTGGGGAACAGATAAAGAGACAAGCAAAATTTCTTAATGGAACACTTCATAAATGATAATTAATCCTAAATCACCCATACCTAAACCTGTCACTGACCAAGCTGCCCTTTTCCTTTGTAAGATTTCCAATTGTAAATAGCATGATGGCACTAATTCACACTTTCTTCCACCATTGAGAGGCCCACAAAAGTTTGGTATCCCAATACAATAACATTTATACACAGAGTCTGAGCCATTAGTACCACTAAACCCAGTTTGAAAGCCCTGCAAAAAATAATTTTTCTCTTGAAGACAAAGGCGTATTCTTGTAAACTAGGTGAGGTAGATGAAGGGAGGGAGTAGGAATGCTGCCAGGCATGTGACATAGTGTGCTGCAATGCCTGCTACTCCCTTCCCTCCTGTGCTTCTCCTGCAGCCATCTCTGAGGTGGAGAGGAGGCAGAGCCAGAGCAAAAACTGGCAGAAGCTATTGCAGCCATGGCAAACGTCCCCTGCAGTCCCCACTGCACATCTCTCATTCACAGACATACTTGAGCTGACTCCTTTAACCTCCTGACACAAGGCTTAGCTAGAGTGAGAAGCATCACCAATGCCCCTTCACATAACCTACATGTTGTATTACTGAAAATACCTACAGCTTTTCCAATCTCCTTTATCTTTTTGTATGTGGAATATTCAGCAAATGGGATATTTCGTTTCATGATGACATCTGTGAGGCCTTCCACACGGACACCAGCCTACCAAAACAGCACGAGAAGGAGCAGTCTGAAACATGCTTAGAGAGGTAACTTTGTGAGCAGTTTTAATTTTAATTTTATTTATTATTGACTGAGGTATATATTTACCTCCACTAAATCAGCCACCGACCCTGCAGAATATGCCATCAGTTTGGAAATTATTGCTGACGGGAACATTGTTCCTGGGCTGTTCATAACAAGGACATCTCCAGCAGCACCAATTTTATAGTTATCTATGGCAGAAGAAAACAAGATACATCTTTTTTCTAACCATTCTGTTTATCATTCAAGATAACACTACCAACTTTAAGATATATCATTACATAAACTCTAACTGTTTAGGCAGAAATTATTAAATGGCCACTCTAAACACACAAGTCTCACATTTAATTTCTCACTGAAACAAAGAATGCCATTTTTCTCCAAAGGACTTAATATTTCAGGAATGGATTTCTGAAGTGAAAGTTTCCTGATCACTGAAACATTTACTCACCAAAGTAACCACCGACACGTATGACCTTGCTGTAGCGATAGCTCAGCCTGTCCAATTTGGGGGCCAGCAGCTTAAGGGCAATATTGCAAGCTGAAGATCTAAACAAAATGAGAAAGATAATAGTGTCCAGAAACAAGCTGCATCCTGTCAGTAAATAAACTGACCTCAGTTGTCAGCACATGCAGAAGATCATAATTTGCTGAAGAGCACCTGCTTTGTTCTGGTCTCTACTCACATGTTGTACGTGTATGGCAACCTGCTCTTGGACAAAGCTTTCATGTGGGAATACACAAAACTGGCCACTTGCAAATTGCTCTCCTTCATGGCCACGTTGGCAATGGTTGTTATCAAGGGAAGGGCAGGCCTTGTCTCAAAGATAACAGCACAAGCCATCATCCGCACTTCGGGGGAAAGCGACTCATCAGCGAGGATCTGGATGAGATATCCCTGCACCTGCACAGACAAATAACTGAAACCATGTTGCAAACTGGATCCGCACCTAACCCACAGAAAATACGGGAGAGGGGATCATTAGCCCTGCAGAAAAGTTTCCTGACCTTTTTTACTGCAGGGCTCCACATAACTTTACTAATATAACTGAAGGGGCCATGGTGGAACAGCCCCATGAAACCACTGAAACGGAAATAAATGTCCATCTATCAAGCCATGACAATCCAAAAGGCATCAGCATTGCTTTGTGTGTTACTGATATTCAAATATCAGTGAACATCTTTGGAAGAAAAAAATGTAGATAATAAGATTCATTGTTTGAAGTAACTCCACTGACTCAGTGAGCATACTTCACTATTTTAGACCAGTTTTAAAAGGGTTCAGCAGTTCACCAAAGACAGTCTGAGTGAATGGTTTCTCATATAGGTCCCATACCTAAACCACGTGAACGTTTTCCCTACACTTTCTGTGACGCCAACCTCAGTGTGGGGTCAGTGGTGACTCGCCCAACCTCAAGGGAAGGGTCTAAAAGAGGTAGAGCAATGCTGACATTTGGCCCAGGAGTTTAAGAGAAAGTGTCTCTCCTCCTTATTACAGAGGCAATTTAAATTATATGTCTGACTTTTTGGTGGCTAAGTGTCCACTACCTATAACTAGCAGAGGACTTAGCTGGTTACAACAGATGATAAAAGCAACACTGCTGGAAGATTCCTACTGACTAATTATCATTACATCTTAGCAGAAAACATCAGCTAAATGTAACTGTGTAGTATTGTTCTTAAAAATAATCTTTTTTTGAAAAAACGATTTTTTTGAATCCACACACGATACCATTAAAACCATTACACTTATGGTACATATTCTAATTCACTAAGTTAAGAAAATCTACCAGATCCTACATACTGTTTTGCAGTCCTTCCAAGCAATTTTTCTCAAGGCCATTATGGCATCAATCTGAATGTGGATGGGGATATCAGAAGCACTGGATGAAAAGATGGGGAGGAACTTGAGGATGCGCTTGATGCTGGCTGGTTCTCCCATGTTGCCAATGCACTTCAGAGCCAATTTCATTTTGTCCTCGCGGCCCCTGCTGATTGCTTCGTCTGCCAGGTCATGGATGGGCTGCAAACAAAGCACAGCTCAGTCTTCTCACTCTAATCTAAAGACTGTCCACAGTGTCCCCCTTACCCACTGAAAAGCCTACCACAATAACTAGTTTGATAAAAATCACTCAATGGTGGTTTCTCTCAGGATTTTATCCTTGCAATGTGAAAACCGTATTTTCAATGATGAAGCAAATGATTACATTGACAAAATTATTTGATGCCTTTGTTCTGAAGCAAACCTGCAAAATGTGTATTTATATTTCCAGTCACCCTTTTTATACTGGATATTAAAAGAATAAAGCTAATGTAATGAACATTACTAAGCCATTAAAAAAAAAGCTTGGCAAAAAGCTACCTGGAGAGCTTCTTTAGGACAAGCTGAGGTCTGAGAACAGTATCTATTCACCACAGAACTGTATCCCAAGCTGGCAAGTTGTTGAAGCCAGGGATTTTTCTGGATTCGAGAACTTGTCACTAAGTCCTATGAAAAAGAAAAAAAAATAATTTGTCATTTAATACAGTGCTTCACAAAGCTTTCTGAGCAGGAAAATCATCAGATCTTATTTGAAGGGATCAATTTCAGAATGATTACTATTCTTATCTAAACAAATTAAAGTAGGTTGTAGACATTATATTTGGAAGCTTTAGTTAGAAGCTTAATTCCCCACTAGTTTATACACACGTATAGCTACATTTTGATTTTCATCAACTGAACACTGAAAACATTAAGATTATGGATAAACATCAATGTATAAACAGAATACCTCTAGGAAAATGTGCAACTCAATTATATTTATGATGCATTTTCACATCATTTCTGCTTTTTCTGTTTAAGAATATTGGCTAGAGATGGCAAAAATCCTGCTCAGAATTAGTGATTCATTATCGTGTCAACATATTTGATGTTTGCACTAATACTTTTCCTGCAGCATTTTCCACTTCATGGACTAATTTGTAATTGAAAGAGCTGCTCAAGTGACATAACACCCTAGTCATTGTTTGTTTCAGAAGAGATTAAAGGGACAAAGTTTTGTCTGTAGAGGGCATGCCATGTGATCCCAGAAAACTAAAATGGGAATTATTCCCAGAAGCTCTTATAAGAAAAGGGCTTTACATCAATATAGAGAAATGAAGACATGGAACTATCCTATAATAAATGCTATGCCAAAAAAAAAAAAATCACGGGTCAATGTTTCCACAAAATTAGTGTACACAAGAGGAGAATCCAGCCTCTAATGTACTTAATCACAGGTTGCTGATTATCATTCCATTTATTGTGAGACAGGAAAGATTCACATGGCTTTACTCACTGCTGCTATTGGAACAGTGTGCTCATCAGCTTTTGTGAAATGGAGAGCAAAGGGAACACTCAGAAGAGCCTGAAGGTAGCTGAGGTCATCACTGCGGATTCGGCTCTTAATGAATTTGAGAGATTCTGGGGTGCCCGCCGCAGAGACTGCACTCAGCAGCCATCGCCTGCAAACAGATTTTTAAAATCCTTCATCTTAGCTCCCAGTTGCCACAAAACCAGAAGAGTTTCTTACAGGTTGGTACAATGAAATACCTGTAGCGGGGTTTGTCTGAACATTGTCTCCAGATGGATTCAAGGGTGTCAGCGCTTGTCAGCTTGCAGAGCTGGACGAGCTCCAGGAAACGGTATGGGAGATCATCATGGAAATCTTGCTGGTTATTCAGGACTATGTGTTGCAGTGTTTCAATTATCTGTAACAAAACACAAGACAGAGGGCATGCATAATTACAGTCTTTGGAATTTATGATCAGGTTTGTTTGTTTTTTTTTTTTAATTAGGAAAGAAATTTGGAAAAAAATACCCGTTGCTCAGGGTTTTTGGTCTTGATGAGCTGCACTGACATCTGTGGCAGTACTGCTGGGAACTGGTATTGGAGGCTTCCATAGCTCTGCATGGAGATCTCTGGGGAGCTCCCCCATTCACTCTTCACCTCCAGCAAGGTGAGTTGTTGTCTGTCAAGAGACAGGAGTCACAGGAGAAAGGTATTATCTCCCTTCACCCATGTGCCAATTTTGTTCAGTGATACTGTGATGGTAACTGTCTTACTCTTTAAAAAATTTTCTCATCAAAAGAAAACTTTTTGCTAATGAATAAAGCCTTCTATCTAGAACAAAATGGTATTGGAGTCATCTACAATGAAATTGTTTCCGAGGAGAAGCAAAATCACTGTCTGCTGAATGAGAGCTACTGACCTGGTGTAATGAATGATCCTATTTCTACATAAACTATCTTTCTCCTGACACTACAAATTAGCTCCTTTTCAGAACAAACAGAGCAGTAAACTAGCATTCTAATGATAGAAGTGAACAAAACAGCTTTTCTCCTTTTCTTCCATGCAATTGTAATGCCAGTTTGACCAGGGTACAAATAGAAAATGGTTTGCTGAACTTTTTGGACTGTGGAAACTCTGGTGTGATTACACATCTCCATTTAACTGCTGTGGAGTTCAATTCTCATTTAACTTCAGTTGGGGGTGAAGGGAACTGATAGAACCTCTAATTATTCTCACTTTGTGAAGCAAGCCCACATCCCACCTACTTTGCTTCCGTGACAGCGACCCCAGTGGGTTCACTGAAGGGTGAGATCTGATACACCTGCTGAGACACAGCCTCTGTGATCAGGGCACCACTGTCTGACTGCTTCAGCTTGTAGGAGAAAGCTGCAGTCCCCTTGATGATCCTTTCTTTCTGTAGGGCGACAGGGAGACCCAAAGCGTGAATAAATGGGAACACAGTGGCCATGTTTGTAATTAGGAAGATCTTTCCACATCTCACGTACCATCATGTCAACAGGGCAGGGATAGATGTAAGCCATTCCAAGACTCTTCACCACTTTTTCCTGGCAATTATTTTGGTCTACAGTTTTGGTCACAGAGACTCGGCTGTTCTTCTTGTCTTCCTGGATGACATACCTTGTATGGCAAACACCTCCAATCCCAGCCTGGCAGATGAATACAGAAAATGAGACTTCCCAATTATGTCAGGATTTCACTGTGTGAGAAGTTTTACTTAATGAAGATTCTCAGTGAAGCTGTTACTATTACATACAATCATTCCTACTGAACCAAATAATAGGCATGTGAGCTATACTTGGTCAGGGGATAGAGCTTAAACTTAAAAAGTAATCAATTAAGATCAACAATTAGCAAATAATATTGATCAAATAGCTGTATTACGGAAGCCCTATAACAAATAAATTCATGGATAATAATTCTTTTTCTCCAAAGAACTGCATGTTAAGACTTAGACATATGTCTTAGAAAGAATTCAGCCCAGGTAATTTGTTGAACACACATGCACACATTTACTTCTATATGAATGAAAATCACCTTTTTCTTCCTACAAACACACAAAAGTAGATGCAAATAGACAGAAATTCAGAGGAAGACCAGCTAAAGAGAAAAAAACACATTCTTTCTGCAAAACAGTTTTAGAATGGAAAGAAACACACCTCTTGCAATTCATACACATTCTGTGACTTCTTAATGGTTATCTGGATCATGTTCAGTATTCCTCTCACTATGTTAATGCAAGTATCAGGGCAGTTTTCTGGGCCATAAATGTTTCCAACCCGTCCACTGCTGTATTCAAACTTGAAGGGCCGGGTAAGGCATGAGGAAACCATCTGGGTGATTTTGGCAGATCGAGTGAATGGGTCCCTGGGCCAGATGCCATTGTACTCCTCGAGTTGTGGGGAGCGGATCTGGGAGGAAATCAAGATACTTAGGTGAATAAAATCCCTTTGGTACTAAATACACAAACACATTGGAAGAAATTAATATAACCACTAGTGAGATACTCTTTTCTTCCAAATGTAGCCTTAGAAAATCATAGAGCAGTTTATTCTTTTGCCTTGTGTTTACACTATTGTAAAATCAGTGCACATCCTGCTTGCTCAACAGTACTATTTTATCTTACAGAAGCAGTTAACATATCAAATAAAGTCGACCTTTTTGTCAGCCTTAAAATAATATTCTGCTTTAGATTTAGCATTTAAAAAGCTTATACCATTCTAAATGTAAAAAAGATTTGCAGTTTTAGAATGTTTCATTTTAACTTATTCCTATACAACTTTTTTTGGACTAAACAAATTACTATATTTGCTTCACATTTGTTACTTATTTAAATCAACCAAAATATTTTAACAATGAACAATATATTTATAAACACTGAGATACAATGTCAATAAGAAGCAATTTCAATAACTTTGGCAAAGTTACTGCCAGCTTAGGTGCCTCAGAGCACAGGCTGGTGCACACTTTACAAGAATTTCAGGCCCAAGTCCATAGTGTGAAATGCAATCCCTAGCCCCCAGTTTTGAAAGATCTACGGTTCAATACAACTGGAGACAGCTGTCACTGAATTCAGTATTCCAAAAAAACCTCCGATTTGTAACTGAATTAAAGGGGTAAAAGTACATTCCTGAAGCATATTTATTTTGAATTGAGCCAGGTCCTATCACTGCTGACTTCAGCAGAGGCATAATTTCACATGTACAGATCTTTTACTGCATTATTCAAACACTAAACATTACATACTCCTTTTTGATGATTTTCACTTTTTAATCTTACCTTTATCATGAATCACTTTTTATCATTAGCTTTTATCACTTTTCAAGTCTATTTTTATTAGTTGCCTTCATGACAATGATTTTACATACGCAAGTCCTGGCTTCCCACAAGGAGTTCAAAATGCGTGCTAAGACTAGAATCAAATTTTAGAGCAGGTTTAAATGTCTTTAGTTTTCCATTTTCTAGCAAACCCCCAGCAGCTGTATTTACAATAAGTCTTGAGGAACAGCTGCTACAAACAACTTCCACAAGCAGCACAGGTAACTGACTCATCCCTCTGAAACAGCAGCTTGCAGCTCATTCTCTGATACCTACAGTGACAAGCCTCCAGTTGTGTTTCCTGCAGCTTTCCTATACCCCACATCAGCCAGATGCAATTAAAACTGTGATTTTAGCTCACTGTTGCACATTTAGGAGGTGCAGTACCTTGAGGAGGTAGCTGTTCTCTGACAGCCCGCTGATCTCTAGTTTGCAGCTCAGGCGCACGCCGGCTTTGGCCAAATTCTTTTCTTGAAGCCCATTCAACACCCAGCCTTCATAACTGTACAAGTAGGTCTTTCTGCTACTGAATCCAGGGTCTGAGGGAAATAATAGCCATTTTCACAATACTTCTAAGCATGTTCTAATAAATAGAAATAACAGCAAATTCACTGAAAGCAGGTTATAGAAGGAAATTTACTTACCGATGTCAAACTTCTGGCTACCTACAAAAAGAGATGAAAAACCAGGTAAGTAATGCTCAGTCTAGATCCAATCACTGCCACTGAACTTAAGGAAAATTTGGAAAAGAAAGGTGAAGAAGGGATATGTAGCCTTACCTACAAGGGTGAGCACTAGTGCAAGTACGATCCCCCTCATAGTGAAGGCGAATGGGGCTGTGGCAGACATGGTGAGACTTTTATGGAAGGAAGCTCAGGAACACGTGGCTGTATTCTGCTGAATTCTCAAGTTTTTTATCAGTTAATGTAAACACTTCCCTTTTTGCAATCATACTTTCTCTTCAGATGGAATAACAGAAATCAAGTCATACCTTGGCATCTCACAGATTATCTCATAAACCCTTGGCTGAATTGTTTAAAAGTTTCAACTTATCCTAATAAGTTTTTACTAGATCACTTACAATAATTTTACAATAAACACATTACTTAATTTCCTAGGTTGTGTCACAGCTGGCTGCTGATATTTGGTCCTGCCATAGACTAGGTTGATTTTGCCCAGGTTATGCTGACCTGGCACCTGACCCAAACTGTTATCTAATTGATAGCGGCCCAATTAGCAGAGTCAGTATCACACACTGACACTGTTCCTCCCCTTCCCTCACCACTGGCTCCAGCTGCCCCTGCAGTCAGCAGACCAGGACAGATATCCCCTTGCTATTGTACTCCTATGTGCACCAAAGCCCATTTAACAATCTAATGAAAACCTGCATATATGGCATATATATGTATTTATTCAAATACAGCAGAGGATCAGTGTGTCCTTTCAGCTCTGGTCACAATGACCAGGAATATTTTTAAAATGAACAAAGATTTCATAAGCCATTAGTAAATATTTTATCTTTCAAGGTAAATGACAGCCAAATCTGAACAATTAAAAGCCACAGAGACTCCTCCCAGCAAAGCAGGGGGAATGGGAGTGCAGGTCAGCTAGAATTTTTGCATTTCCTAAGGAGTCAGTCCCAAAATGCAGCTGAATCACCTGAACAGGTGCAGGCTTGCAAGCAGCTTCACCATGGATTCACAGTGAGAGCCCAGGCACACATTCACACAGGTGTTCTCTTCTAGAAACCTCAGGAGGAGGCAAGGGGAGATGCACAAAACATGCTTGGCCTGCTTGAGTATGGTGAGGGGCTGGGGGGCTGACCAGACCCATTCCTCCCACAAGTGACACAGTCTCCCAAAGCCAGCTGGGTGGGCATCTGGTGGCCCCCAGCAATAAAAATGCACAGGGGCTTCTGAGCTGGAGGAGCAACTTAAAGCCCACAGTTTATTGTGTTGCCTGAAGTCACACGAAAGCCCTGAATCCCATTCAAATTCAACATCTATGACAAACTGGTTAATCAGACACTTTATTTCTACTCCCACAACTCCTATAGTCATATGATTAACCACAGGAGTGTGCTTTGTGGCAAATGCTATTTTAACACCCACAAATGAACATTTATTTTCTATTTCACAGTTTCTACAGCCTTCCATTAACAAGTGCTGTTCTTGGGTTGCCAGTCCCATAGGCCTTGACTTTTTCAGATTCCATGTGGACTGTAAATCCATCTCAGGCTGTGTGAACTATTTTGGGAACTGCCACCCAGCTCACTGCAGAAGACATTTGAGGGATGAAGGGTGGACACTTGCAAGAAATGTCTCATTTCTCATGATTATCAATCTATCTATCTATTTGTGTTCAAGGGAACAAGCATGTTTTGTGCCTCAGGGGACAAGCTCTCTAATACAGTTGTAATTAATTTTTTATTAGTAAATATTTATTTAAAACAAACTTACCTGTTATGCATACCAAATAGTTGCACATCTTGTACAACTCAAAATGTGAATAAAGAAACAAACACTGACAAGTGTGAAAACTACAACAAAATATGAAAATTACAACAAAATATACACCATGGGAGCTTAGGTTTTCATTACTGTGCAGCTTTGTAGGGCATAATGAAAATTAGATATCAGATGTATTTTCTGAAAGCAATAAATAAATCATTGGAGAATCTGAACACTTCTTGTGGGGTCAGCTTTTTGACACAACTATGTCAACATTTCATATCTTCTCATCAACTTCTCTTGCAAATCAGAAAAAATCTAAAACCAAGATATCTCACAAGGCTTCACAGAGAAAAGCTTAGAGTTAACTACAAATTAAAAAAAAACCCCAAACCTGCATAATAACTAAGCTAATTCAACATGCACATTATTGCCATTATCCTGCCTATCCTTCCATTTTCCTTCCAAGAATAGTGTGATTGTATTGGTATTATCTACATATATCAGTTACCTTGACCTGGTTGAAACCTACCTGGACACAGAACAAGCCGTAGAAAATAAATTAAAATACAGTCTGTTTTTTCTTCTATCCTGTTACAAGTGAAGTGCAGAATCTAGTGGAAGTAGCTCTTCAAAGTAGGAAGAAAACAACAGCTGTTTTGTAGGGAGAAGGTTCTCTTAAGAAAAATTTCCATTTATCAGGTTATTTTGCAATACAGTCTGTTACAGGAGCTATATATTGTATAGCCCTCAGCCACTGGGGATGAAAGGGAAAAAAATTAACAGCTCCAACATAATCCTGGAAAGTAAGTACTCAGACCTAGTCAGACTGATACTTATGGTAAAAGCATGTTCATCACAGACTGAAAAAGCAGCAATGAATATTGTATTTAAAGATTTTTGAGAAACACGGGAGTTTTAAGAGAACCACTCATCTTTTCAATACCATGCATGAGTAGCTAACAATAGCTGTAGTGTCATCACTTGCTGAGTGTCTACTTCTTATTCCTTGAGAAGAGCACTCACAGTCTTATCTCAAATGTACACCTATGTGAAGTGATACACCTGTATCACATTCCTGCAGGAAGTCTCCCCTTTGCTCTTCAAGTCTCTGAGTAAGAAAGATCCTGCAGCTGTTTCCAACAGCTCTGAGTACCACAATGTCACCCTCTGCAGAATTCATACCATTATTAGTGGTAGTTTCAGATTTAATATCTTCCCAGACACTGTATATTGAGAAATCCAGAAACTCTGGCTATGTTTTACTTCTTTACACAGACAGGACCAAATCTGTACTCCAGACTTCCAGATCAAGTCTGAGGCCAGCTCAGGACTCAACTGCATACACTCTTCTAGCACAGTTAGTTCTTCCATGGAGACAGTCACACATATTTCCACTTCTATAAGAATGGCTATATAACTCTAAAGCAAAAAATTAGTACAAAATGCTTATTAATTGCTAATCACTCAGTAGACAGAAACAAGAGTTTAAATAGGTTATTTTGTTCTTCAAGGTATTATTATCCCAAAAGTTACTTTAAAGAAAACCAGGCTGAAGAAGGAAGGCTCAAGTAAAGCAAACACAATTAACAGTCACAGTAGGGCACCCACGAGCACACAATGGAACAGCAGCAGCCCCTGGTGGCATCTGGATCCTGCCTCAGCCATGGAGATCTGCAGTCACTACTGGCTTGAAAATAATCCTGCTTGCAGAGTTCTGTTCTCCTTAATATATTAAATTTTCCCTTTACTTAAGTTTTTTGTAAGTGTATTTATTCTTCCACAAGTAAAATTCAGGCAAGAGCTGCTCAACAGCTGGGAAATAGGAAACCAAACAGGAACTGTACCCTGCTAAAAAGCAGTGAATGACATGATTCTGAACACCCATTTATTGGGCAAGAACAAGAGAAACAGAAATATGATGCTGTCTTTCCAACTTGACTAGCCATGCAGCAAAAAGCCCACCAAGACAATAGTATTGCTATTATCATTATATCCACTTCTGCTCCCTTACAGGTGCTACATGAAAACCACACAAGTATCATCCTCTGCAGTTTACATTGGCTATTACTTCATCTCAAGCTGGAACTCAATGGACTGAATCCACTGCAGCAGAAACTGCAGCTTTTTACTTCAGTCTCTGAGAACTGCAGTTTCTTCTCCTCCCTGTATTATCCTACTGCTATTTTTCCAGAAATCCAGTCACTACACTCCATCCAACTCTGAAGTGAATGGGCAGAGCAGCAATAGCCTTCAGTGAAGGATTCTGAACTTGAGTTAATTTCCCACCTCTGACCCCAAGAAAGGCAGTTTAAACTCAGATATCTTCCAAAAGGTCAATTACACAAGGATCAGAGCTATACAAGTGATCACACATGCACAAAAACCCAACAAGAGAAGATGAATCTGTACTGGGCAAGGAAACTCACACACACTGAGTAAGGTGAAGGAGACCTTGAAACATCTTACCTCTAACTTGGCTATTTTTATTACATTATAAACAAGAGACTTCCCCAAGGCTACACAAAAAAATAACATTCTGGAGTCAATTAAAACAAAAAAAACCCAAACAAAATACAAAACCAGCACCAGATTTGTATACATTGTATATAGCCCTATAACCATGGTAGCTAAAAAGTTTACTGCACACAGGGTTTTTTAGAATAGATTTAACACGTTTATTGTTCACATTTGAAATACTTTGGTTCCTGACTGAACCACTGAAAGTCCTAATGGATCTGTAAACTGAGTATCACTAGAAAACAATTTAAAATGCCATGTAAAATAATGTTTATGTAAGCATGTGTTTCATTTCATGGTTTCTCAGCATAACCACTTGCTCTATTTACAAATATATAAAGATTTGCACTTTAAATCATTGAGATATCAAAGAGGTATTTTCAAATCACACAATAAATATAGAACCTGTTTTGTTAAAAATCTACAGTATACTGTACATTCAAGTCGAGGCAAAAAAGGATTTAATGCCAGTTACACTTGAGACATAAATGAATGTTTCCAATAATTAAACAATTTCTAAAAGTGCTATCTCTGCCTGTGATGAAAGGTAACATTAAGATCCAGTATTTCATTACAGTCAAAGTTTCAGACCATTGCTTTATTCACAGAATTAGAGCTTCTGTTACTAGAAAAATATCAAAGCTTTTATATATTCTTAAATTTTCTTTCAAGAGTTGCAAGAAAGAGGCAAAAAATGATCTAAAAAATAAAAGCCATGTGCACACACATAGAAACACACCACGATTCAGATCACCACATAATCCTCCAGAAGAATGATCAAACTCACAGCATTCTGTTTCATTTAGAATGATAAGTTTATGAACAAGTCTCTAACAAAAATCCCAGCAGGCAACCCTAGAAGCCTAAGGCAGCTGTTCC